ATTTGGGAAATGCCAGTCTGAGGCACACTCTCCCCTTTTCTTAGCTTTCTCCCCTAACACCTCCTCACCTCCCACCACTGCATCCTTAATGCTGTCTCTGGTTTTTCAGACTCCCCCAGACTGTGGTTATAATATGAAAGTCCTCCTTATTGCTTCTTCCAGCACCTCATACACGTATACACACTTAACATTTTTAGAACTATCCCATAGGGCGAGCATAAACCAATGAAATGATGCTAATTGCAACTGAATCCTCAAGAAGCTTAATGTGCTAAATCTTCCAGATGTAATTGCATTTTGAAAGAAAATACAAAGTTTAGGTAGGACAATGGTAAGAGTGTGGATACAATCCTTGAGGGCGACTTTAAGCTCCATCTATTCATGTTGTGCAGCGAATACATGTTGTGCATCCGGACTGACTCTCACTTTCCAAGTGGACAAGGTGGACCCCACTCAATCAGTCAGGAAAGCCAGAATTGCCTTAGTACAGCAAAATGGAAATTACAGAGATAGCTGTGTTGCTTCTCCTAATCAGCTCCAGATAGCACTAGAAGGGAATTTCATCTGCTAAGACTGCCTGATGATGTTTTGACCAGTGACGCTGGCATATCCAGCAGGGATGCTGCCACTGTTGGGGTGGCATCCTAAAAGACAGGGTTCTCTCTGCTTTCCTTGCTAGATGCCTCTGATTATACTCCAGAGTCATAGCTCGGGATCCCACTGGTTTGTGCAAATTTCAAGCCTAGTTATTCCCACATAAAAATGTTATGCAAACAACCATAATTTTGTTATTGTGTAAGGAGCTGGGGAGGGGGCAGTAATTTACCAAAATGAAAATGGAGTGTCCCTTGAGATTCTAAGAAGAGAATGCATGTTTTCATCAGCCACATTAAATCCCCTTTTGCTTTTTGGAACAAATGTGAAAAAGCAGCCACATTATCTATGGGAAATAACAGGCAAAGTAAAGCCTCTGTCTTTAGAGGTCTTCAATTTGAGTTGTTTCCAAGGATACTTCTCTTCCAAATCAGCAGCAGGAAGTCCAGTATTTTTCCCACTTGATTTGCTCTTTCAGAGAAGCCTTTCAAGACCCTTAGTGCTAGTTGAGATGCTGGTCTCCCAAGAACTGGAGCAAATCCAGGGCTGAGTTTACCATGACCACTAGAAATTCAACTCATGCTAATAACTTACGGTGCCTTCCAGCCTGAGACTAAGATGCAAGCCAGAGACTAAGAAGTCAAAGGTTCCATGTCCTCCCACTGTCTTCCAGAGTCGTCTTTCTGACTTGCAGTTTCATTTGAAGTTTCCCAGATGGAAATAACCCATAGAATCAAAAAAATCTTCAGTTAAACTTCGAGACTGAGCTGATTCAAATCTGGTATTCTCCTTTTCCACCTATGCACTGCTCATTTTCCTTTCTTACTTCTTAATCTCTATTTGCATTCATTTCACCTTTTTGTTTGTGGTGATTTTTTTTTTTCCCTAGAAAAGCCAGATGGAGACTTCTAGGCTCCAGAGATTGACCACAGCTTGTTCCATTATATCTTAGCCTCATGATCTGGTTATGCATCATGAATGTTTTATGTTTCATGGACCCCCTCTCAAGTTACCTTATCAGAATCCTATGGTAAGACCAAGTAACAGGATCATTGTCGATATCTTTGTATGATTACAACATGGTACTCATATTACACTCTTACTGGGGCTGTCATTACATGATTCATCATTATGCTCTTTCAGATTAAGAACTGGGTCTCCTGACTTCTGACACATGATTTGCCATCAAACTTGCTGTAGACCTTGCCTCCTCCTCCAACCTCCACCATTCCATAACTTTTCTGAGTCTTGGTGCATTCTGAAGTTAGGATGACAAAAGGAGATAGACACTCTTTTGGTATAATCATACATGGGAGACATTATTATAGGAGTTTAATCTTGACAGAGTGTAAGGTCTTATCGCCTTTTAAATAATCACTCTGAACTTAATTAATCTAGAGAATAACTGCTGCTTCAGAGTTTAACGTCTGTCTCCCCGCGTCTCACAGAATCTAGAGCCCTCCCAGGTAAACAGTGATAAATGATTGAATTTTGATGGGAAATAAAGAGAGGGTTGACAAAGAACAGTAGATAATCTTAAGGGAAAGGAAAAGGAGGCCCCAAAGGAGGCAGGATTCTTTGCTGATTACAAAGTAGGGAGCATTCAGGGGCCACCAGAGTTAAAACTGAATATATTAGAGGAGACAGGAGTAAGGATATTTAGAATAGATGAGAAACCCCCTTCCAGATTCTTCACTACTCTGTGTTGCTGAATAGGTTGGAAGAGCCTTGTCCAAATCAAAAAAGCCACAGGTGACTGGATGCTTTGTCAGTGTGGTAAGACCTGAAAATTGTTTGATGTTGGCATGTGCAATGCACTCATCCATGCTATTGCTCAGAGATGATAATTCTTGGAGTTTCTTATGTAATAGGTCTAGCTAGAGTAATGCCTTGGCATCTGCACATTTTTAAATATCTACAGGTGAACGTGACATACAGTCACTGTTCATGTTTATTATGCTAACTTTTATGTTTTCTTTAGATTTGTTCAATTTTTTGTCACTCTCCCACCACCCATATGTTTCCTGCCTGCCTTTGTGGAATGAGATAGCCCTTCCCCAGGTCAGATTCCTCTCTGCTCCAGGGCACTTGATTTGGCAAGAAGAGGAAAGGTCAGTTTCAGTCCCTGACTGCCCATTTGGCTAGGTGCCTTGTGTAGGGTACAACTTGCTCAACTGTGACCAAATGAGGGCAAAGAGTGTTGGCTTTAGAGAGAGCAAATTTGTGTTTCAGTCAAGACTTCCACTTTCTGTCTGTCTTAATTTGGGTAAGTTGCTTAATCTCTTTGAAACTCAGTTTGATTAGATATTAAAAAGGGATAAAGATACCAAAATTAAGCATAAGAGTAGCTACCTACCTAAGATCTAGAAGAGGGGCTGGCAGCTAGTATAAGGTTCAATAAATATTTATTAAATAAATGAATACATCAAGTCTGTGATCCTGTAGTTAAATGAAATTAACGTATGTGAAGAGTTTGGTACATGTCTGACACTTTTTAGATACTCATAACTAGTCGTTTTCTCTCCACTTATAGCTTTTCTCTCTCTCCCCAAGTATTTATTGTGCTTCTCTTCCTCAACCACTCAGTCTGCTAGACGATGGTGATAGAAAAAGCCTCAGCTATAAGAGAGCCCATGTTCTAGGTGTTTATATGACAGTGGGAAAGACAGAGCTCTAACGAAGTAACCACCAGATGATGTGGAAAGGGTTAAAAAAGAAATAGTGGGCCTCCCCTGGTGGCGCAGCAGTTGAGCACTGGGCTGCTAGGCTGCCCACCACCTCTGCAGCACTGGTTTGTTCCCCCACTGCCAGGGAGGGTCCCACAAAAAAAAAAAAGAAAGAAAGAAATAGTGTACTATGAGAACACTATTAAGAAAGGCTTCAAAGAGCCTTGAAGGATAAATAGGGACTTTTGTGCAACAAGGGAGGAGGCTATTCTGTTCAGAGGAATCCATAGGGAGAAAGAGAGACATGAAAATGACCCCATCCAAGAGCAGATTCTTGGCTCTTTAGTTTGAGAAAAAGAACAACAAAGTGAAATGAAGCAAAAATGTGAAATTAAAATCTTTTTTTTAACATTATACTGTTTTCTCAACTTGGTATAGAACACCATATTTTTCAAAGTTCTTATACTTTCTATATTTCTTTGACTCTAAGACACAATATAGGTAGTGATCTCATCATCAAACCAAGAAACCAAGGCTAAAAAGAGCATAATTGGTTCATCCAAGTTCATATAGCACATTAATTTAGGATCTAGACGTAGAACCCAGCATTCCTGTCAGTTGACAATTTCTACAAATGTTATCTTCTTCAATTAGTTAAAAATATTTCCAGGATTGCTTTCTAGATCAAAGCATTTCATGCTGCTTTTATTCTTAATTGGTCATATCCAACTGCCTTTTATTGAGAACCTATCCTATTAACACCTACCAATTTCATCACATGTATTATTTTGCCAGGGTTTATAACCCTAGAGTAGATGATGAGGTTGGTCTTGTAATTTTATACATGAAAAGACTATTACTTCCGTAGTTTCATTTTTTATTTTATTATTTTTTTAAGATTTATTTATTTATTTATACATACATACATACATACATAAAAGCACTGGGTACAGTCAGAAGCGCAGGAGGGTGAGAGAATTCACCAGAGCCAGAGCGGGGAGCAGAACAGGCAGAGTGACGAAGTACACTGCTGAGGGGAGCAGCGGGCGGCAGGAGAGGTCTGCGCGCCATGTGGCTGGGGAGCAGCTGGGGATCGAACCAGCACTGCAGAGGCTGTGGGCAGCTTCGCAACCCAGCACTCAACCACTGTGCCACCGGGGAGGCCCTTACTTCTGTAGTTTTAAATGCCTATCTGCCTAAGATACTAAATAAAAAAGAGGGAGCACTAGGTTTTAGAATCTGGGGTGTTTGATGCCAGTCTTCATTTTCTTTCAGCTCTGTAACCTTTATGCAATGAGATCTAAACTGATACTCAAGAACAGCTATCTATAAGGCAGGATATGTCATTCTTGGACTTCTACATGTTGTGCAAAATTGTTTACTCACTAGAAATTTCATCTTCTATTGTAATTTTATATTTAAACATGTTTCTAGCCAAGTTATACCACATGTACTCTTATACTAGTTTTCTGCCTTTGCTGTCATGTATGTGTGGTCATATGAATCACGCTCATGTATCTAATTATAACACTGCTAAATAGGAAAAAATGACCACCAATGGTAAAGTTAGACTAGTCAATATGGTTAGTCTTTATAAAACCATAAACAAAATCAGAAAGAATTTTCAAGCATTTTGCTGACAGCTCTTGTATAAGCCAGTAAGTAAAAATGAAACATTTTCTTAACCTACATATATTCTTTCTTAGATGAAGAAAATATTAAACTCCTACTAACCATGGAATTGCCTCCAAAATCTTGTCTCAATCAAGATTTCTTTTGTGTTCTCAAATTTGGAGACAGAGGTGTGGTGGTGATTTGTTGTTGTTGTTGTTGTTGTTTTCCTGCCTCCAAAGATACTCTTGGTATCCACAGAAAGCAACCAGCAGCACTGTTCTTCTGTGAAGGAAATATACAAAGCAGATATAGACTTTATCTACTGATCCTCTTGCTAAAAGAAAGGAGAAAAATTAGCACACTTTAATCTTATTTCAACTTGTTTCCTCTGTTTTCTGGCTTTTGTGAGTTATATTAGTTTCATTATAGAAAGATGTGTTACAGCTATTTTTTTTCTGTCTGTATTTCCATAATTGTATAGTCTTAATTCTAAATTTAAACTTGTTTACTATGTACCAGTTGGGGTTTTTAACCACAGTTTTATTCCCAGGTTTAAAATTTATATTCACATCTTAGTTAGCTTGACTTCATTTTCACTAAGTTTTTCAAGAAAAGTTATGGGTGCTCTAGGATGGGTTTTTGTATGCTCGAAGTATCTGTTGCCCTTTGTAGCCTTTTTGACTTTCTAGTCATAAAATTCCTTGGTTATACTTCCCCTTAACTTTGTACAGATTGATCCATTATTTTCTGATATTAAGAATTGCTGTGGACAAGATTAAGAAAAACTAACTTTTCCTCTTTAATGTTATACTTTTTTTCTGCTTGGACTCATATATATACATATATATGTGTATAATATATATGTATATATATATAAAATCCTTTATATAATATATAATTATTACATGATATATATCATAATATATAACCTATCATATAATATATACTATATAATATGTAATATATGTAATATGATACACATTATACAATACATATTATATAATATATAGACATATATGTAATATGATATATATTACATATATTATATAATCCATATATATATATATAAAAAATCCTTAAAATTCAAAAACTTCACCAGACTATGTGACAATAATCTTTTGTATTCATTTTTTTTTTGGGAATAGGACATACTCTTTTTCAATCTGCAGAGTCAAATTTTTATTTCAGTTATGTCTGTGGTAGCTTTCTGGATATCTTTGTTTCTTTTTTTCCATGTTCTTTTTTTTTTTAAAGATTTATTTATTTATTTATACAAGCACTGGGTACAGTCAGAAGCGGGGGAGGGTGAGAGAATTCACCAGAGCGGGGAACAGAACAGACAGACTGACGAAATATACTACTGAGGGGAGCAGCAGGCGGCAGGAGGGGTCTGCGCGCCATGTGGGACCCTCACCCACGGGCCGGGAATTGAACCGGGGCTGCAGAGGCTGTGGGCAGCTTCACAACCCAGCTCTCAACCGCTGCACCACTGGGGAAGCCCTTTTTTTCCATGTTCTTTATGGACATGGAGTATTCTGAATATTTTATGTATGTATGGTCTAGTTCTCTAAAGTTCTAGATACCTCTGTTCTTTTCATTTTCTCTATATATTTTCCCACAGGCTTTCTGATAGCCTAAGCTTCATTTTAAATAATGCTTACTCTATTTTTATTAATTCATTATGATTTTCTTCTGTGTAATATTTTTCCTTTCTCTTCCAACTTGCAGTATAAATTTGCTTATCGTTCTTTTCTGGTCATCTCTTGAGTCTTTTTACACTTTAAATTTTTTTGCAATTATAACTAGTTTTTGAATTATCTTTTTCTTTTGTTAATTCCCTCATTGTCTTCCTTTTGTTTGTCTTCCCTTCCTCTCTGCCCTCACCTATACTCTGTGTCTGTTTAAAGTTGGTTCTTTTCTTTTCACATGTATAGTTGGAGCTAGATATTCTTTTTTTTAAAAAAAGATTTATTTATACATACAAGAGCTGGGGTATAAGCCAGTGATATGGGAGGTGAGAGGACTCACCAGAGATCTGGTGAGTGGGGAGCAGAACTGGCAGACTAATGAAATACACTGCTGAGGGGAGCAGCGGGTGAGACAGGAGAGGTCTGCTGCACCATGTGGGAAGCTCCCTGGCCAGCTGGGGATCGAACTCGTGCTACAGAGGCTGCAGATTGCCCCATAGTACGGTGCTTAACCCCTTGCACCACCAGGGAGGCCTGGAGCTAGATATTCTTGAAGAACAAAATGGAAAAAGATGTGAAATGGACACCCGTTGCTTCAGTTCAGTTAGTTCTACTGGCCCTCCTGCCAATCGCATCTTCCCTTTGCTCTCGAGGTGCATTTAACCTCAGTTTTAGCTACCAAGTGCTTGAAGTGGCTCATGGGAAAGTTTTCCCTTCCTCCTTTTATATTCTCCCTTACATTTTTATCTTTGTCATCTGGGAGAAGACTGTAGAAAAAACTGGAAGGTCAGGGTGATTTTGCCTTCAACTTGGACTTTCTACTATCTTGTGCCAGTGGGATCTCTATGAGAACATCACTCACTTTCCTTGGACTTGCATATGCCTGTGAATTTAATCTAAGGAACACTGCACAGACCCTTTAGAACTCTGGTACTCACTTGTAGAGGAATCTGTGTCTTAATGAAAGTTCAAAGGCAAAGATATTATATGCCAATGGTGTCACTCACTGCAGTTTGAATTGCAAACTGGACTTGACACTTTTATCATGGAATAATGACTGGCAAACTGAGTCAGTTTGGGTTTTCAGATTTAGATATTTGGCAGCATCTTTTTTTAATTGAATGAAGCGAGTCTGTCAAGTCAAGGAAAACAATGGACACTATCTGCTGACAACAATAAAATTCAAGCTTTCAAGACAAAATTAAAACTTTTGAAATCTTGTATCTACCACTATGAACTTGACAACTTCTCAATACATAAATATTTTACTGATGAGATTGGTGGTGATTTTAACAAACGTGAGTTTTTGATATTGCATAATAAACTGTGTCAACACTTAAGATTTGCATAATTCAAGAAACTAACATTTTCCAAATGACCACTAATGCATGCTACAAAAGCATGTATGAGAAAAAATTTCACTCAAAGTGAAAGAGAAATCAATGGATTTTAATGTATTATTATCAATTAACTCATTGATACAGTTTTAGATTCTACATTGAAATTAACCTTTAAGAAATCACAAATTATTGAGTTTTGGTATAATATCAGAGAAGACTATCTAGAACTTTCTGGAAATGCTTTTAAGATAATTTACCTTTTACAGGAAGCCATGTTTTCTTCAAATACTTTAACCAAAACAATATGTAACAATAAATAAAACAAATTCAGAAACTGGTTGTCTTCTATTAAGCCATAGATCAGAGACTTGTAAATCTATGCCACAATGCCACAATTCTGAATAAATTTTCTTTTTTAAGGAAAATACATTATTTTACTAAAGTACATGATTTTTGTTAGTGCAAAATGGGATTACTGCTATATATAAGTCTTTTTTTTAATAAGTCTTTTTTTTTTAACAAGTGGGGTACAGGCCAGAGTTGCAGGGGGTGAGAAGACCTACCAGAGAGAGCAGGGAGCAGAACATGCAGATGTACCAAAATACACTGCTGAGGGGAGCAGCAGGCAAGACAGGAGAGGTCTGCTATGCCATGTGGGTTGCTCCCCAGCTGGCTGGGGATGGAACTGGCACTACAAAGGCCACGAATAGCCTCACAGTGCTGCACTCAACCCCCTGTGCCATCAGGGAGGCCCTATTGCTATTTTATTTTATTTTTTAAAGATTTATTATACAAGAACTGGGGTACGGGCCAGAGGTGTGGGAGGGTGAGAGGATTCACCAGAGACAGAGTGGGGAACAGAACAGATAGACTGACTGAAACACACTGCTGAGGGTAGCAACAGGCAAGACAGGAGAGGTCTACTGAGCCATGTGGGTTTCTCCCCGGCCGGCCGGGATCGAACCCATGCTGCAGAGGCTGGGGACAGCTTCACAGTGCAGTGCTCTACTGCCTGCACCACCAGGGAGGCCCCCTATTGCTATTTTAAATGAATTGATAATTATGTAATTTTTTTCAGTTGCTAATATAATAAAAAGTATAAATATCACCATGTCAAAAAAAACTTTTGAAATCCTTAATAATTCTTAAGAATGAAAAATATTTAGATCAATAAGTTGACACTAATGAAGATGTAAGTGGTACAGGAATATAAAAGCAGAAATGTTATGGCTTAGAATTGACTTTTTCCAGAGTGGGATGCAAACTACAGATTGCTAAAATTAAGATGGAAGATGCAGAGGAGAAACTGTGTGGGAAAATCTGTGGTGGTAGGTCAGGGTAGATTTGGAGGACTCTTGAGTCAAATAGTTAGAGTCCTTCTCATGCTTCAAATCTCTCTTCCTTCTACCTACCTCTCTGGCCCTTTTTCTGTCATCAGTACTCTCTCATCCTCTCCCTCTCTCTCTCCACAGATAGAAAGATTCTCTGCTTTTAAGGACTCCTGTGATTATAATGTATCTACCTGGTTAATTGACAATCTCCCCATATCAAGTTCCTTTACCTTAATCACACCTGCAAAGGTCCTTTTGCCATGTACAGTGACATACTGTCAGGCTCTGGGAATTAGAAGATGGACATCTTTTAAGGACTGTTATTTTACCTGGATGCCTTAGCCTGTTTGGGCTTCCATATCAAAATACCATAGGTTGGGAGATTTATTAACAACGACAATTTATTTCTCATCGTTCTGAATGCTGGAGGTGCACAATCAGCTGCCAGCATGGTGGTGGTCTAGTGAGAACCCTCTTTCTGGTTCATCCGCTGGTGCCACCCACTCTTATCCCCACATGGTGGGAGGGGCCAAAGAAACGTTCTCAGGAAACTTTTATACAGGTAGTAATCCCTTATATGAGGTCTCTGATCTCGTGTTCTGATCACCTCACCAAGGTCCCACCTCTTAATACCACTACCTTGGGAATCAGGATTCAACATATAAATTTGGCAGGGAGGAACACAGACATTCAGACAATAGCACTACTACACCATGGGATGGTTTTTAATAAGGAAGTGGTATTATGACGGTGGTATTAAAGGAACAAAACTCCCCAATAATTAGCCAGTATGGAACTGATCTGGTGCCAAGTTTGGGGCTGAGTTCTGCCTCTGTGGAAAACATTTTACATGTGTTTCTAGTGCAGTGCAGATGATGTGTCCAGGAAGACATCTGCTGATATTCTGGCAGGCAGATCACTTTCTCATTGCCTGTCCTACCCACATTTGTCATTCAGGTCGCCAGAAGGACAAACATGCATAGTTTCTAGAAGCAGTTTGGTTTCTTCTCTTCATTTTGTATCTTTGAAATATTCGGTGAAAGAGAAGACACAGTATTGTCATATATGCTATTATAGCAGGACATTTTCCCCTTTCAGGATCTGGAATCTGAGGGGTGACCTTTCACATGAAGCATTTTGTTAAATAATGTGGTGGAGTTACTAAACCATGAAGTCAGAGGCAACACTTGAATGTGTGTTGAGTTACCACCAGTTCTCTGAAGAGAAAACAATAAGCTTAAATGGTTTTGAGCAATAATTTATCAGGAAGGCTGTTACAAAGGAATGCTTGAATTAGACCAAATAAACCCACAAGATAGATGTAACTCAAATATTTTCCAAGATAAGCTTCCTTTTGAAAGTAATTTAAATGTTTGTCTGCCTTCCCATTGCATTTATGTGTGATATGTTGAGTAATTAACTAAGGAGGACAGAAAGGGAATCCCTGTGGTATAAATTCCAGGAACAACTGCAGACTCATCCAAAGGTCACTTATAAATCAGAACAAACCCAAATTCATAAGCTAGTCTCAAGCAGAATCAAGTATCCTATAAAAATAAAATGACAAAAGGCATTATTTCCACCCCCTCAAAATATTATAAAAAACAGGATTTACTTTCTTCTGCCTGGCAAATAACATATCCAACACATTCCTAACCATTGTTGCTGTATATTACAGCATAAGAACAAATTTCAACATTTTGCAATTACATTGTGCAAAGTACAAAGATCTGTACAATTCTCTTGGGTGTGCACAGTTTACTATTTTTGCCTACACATGTTTTCTCAGGGAAACAATGAGCCTTGGGAGATGTGAGTTTGTAACATGACACCTCCAGAGCTGCCAAGGGAAACCTCCTTTTATAACTCTCAGAACACTGCCCAGCCTTGGAATTCAGAGGCATATTAAGCATTAATCTTGTATTATAAAATTGGATGCTGAGTTTGCCCAATAGTTATCTTTCTCTAATGTTCTACACAGAACTACATGCTTTGCAGGTATTTTTTCTTAATACCAATGTATTTTGCCTCTTTATGTATTAATTCCCTAGATGACTTAGAATATTATATATATATGTATGTATGTATGTCTATATATGTGTGGGTGTATATATATATCAGTCACTAATATTGGACACTATGAAGTTATTTCATGGGACTTTCATGTGACTTGGAGAGACTAGAACTGAATTAGGAGTTTAGATCGTGGATTCAAGTCTATTAGTTTAGATAATGCTAACTGCTATAACAAACGATCCTCAAATCTATAAAAGCTTAAATCCAGTAGAAGCTTATTTATTACTCAAGGAAAGTCCAAAATGTGTATTTTTTTTCTTAATTTTTTTTTTATAGAGGCATGTTTTATTTATTTATTTGTTTGTTTGTTTGTATTGTTTATACATGCACTGGGTACAGTCAGAAACACGGGAGGGTGAAAAAATTCACCAGAGTCAGAGCGGGGAGCAGAGCAGGCAGAAGGACCGAAGCACACTGCTGAGGGGAGCAGCGGGCGGCAGGAGAGGTCTGCGGGCCTTGTGGGACCCTCCTCCGGTGGCCGGGGAGCAGGCGGGGATCGAACCGGTGCTGCAGAGGCCGCAGGCAGCTTCGCAACCCAGCGCTCAACTGCTCCGCCACCGGGGAGGCCCCAAAATGTGTATTCTTGATTAGTGTGTTGCTATCTTCCAAGTTGTAATTCAGAAACCTAGAATCCTGCCATTCTATGGCTCTGAAATCTTCAAGATGTGGCTACGTTCATCTGTGTCAAAATGAAAGAAATGGAAAGAGCATGGAGGATTTTTAGATTTTTAATGTGAGTTTTTTAATAAGCCAGATTTGAAAGGGGTATATATCACTTTAGCTCAATATTCTCAAGCAGACTGCAGTAATTTGGCCACAGAGAACTTCATGGGAGATTGAGAAATGTAACCCTAACATTGTATCAAAGAAGGAAAAGAGTAAAGTAACCAAATAGCCAGTTTTTGCCAAATAATGCCTCATCTGCCATCATTTATTTTATTTTTTATTTTAGGTTATTATTTTTATGTCAAAGACTCTTCCTTGACCATATTTCCAACCTATGGAATGTTTAGAGAAGCATTTTACATATAGTACATAGTAAATGAACAGTGTTGAATGTTCATAATTTCCCCCCTTCCGCTAGCTCAGGACATTGGGTGTTGTTCCAGGGGACTGAGAAATATTTTCCCTCAAGGAATCACAAAGCATCTACCTTGGCAGTACTTTGACTATTACCATTACTGCAGCCAGATTGGGAAAGTGCAAGGAGAAAAACTCCTATTAAGAGACGAACATAAGAAGAAAATCTGCTGGAAGACTGAGTAAGTAATTAGAATAGGAGGGTAGACTCTACAGCACTGTAAAAAGAACTTGCTGCAAATCTGTAAAAGAACTTGCTGCAAAATGCCTTGGAACAATTAACAATGCTAAGCCACAAAACAAGAAATGTCTTTTTCCAAAAAACTCAGGTGATGGTGGGGATGTGGGACAATGGGCTGGAATCATGCTTCTGTCCACACCTACCACCCCTGCTGATTAGGAAATATTGTTTTGGAAGTGAAAAGACTAGAGTTTTATTTCCAGACCTGTGACTAACTAGCTACACGACTGTGGACCAGTTAGTCTGCTTCTCTGGACTTTATTTTCATCATCTTTATAAGGAACAGTTGGATTAGATGGGTGATGATCAGTAAGTGGTCACCCAACCCCCTGTTCATGGCAGATATTAGTAATCAAATATTATTCTTTTTTACTGAGCTTATTTATAATCTCAGGATCCTTATCAACATTCCTCTTGAAAGTCCATACCAGTCAATTAGAAGTGACCCATATATATTAACTATGTCTGTTATTTTCTATCTCCTGATACTTTGATATCTAGAGTGCTGCTAACCCTCTACTAGAGGGACTGCACCTCCTGAGCTTAGTCAATTCCTAGAAATAGGAATGGAGTTACCTGGACTAAAAACTGAACATTTGAAAAACACTTTTTAAATGCAAACCAACTAATCCTTAGTACACACTAAAACCACGTCCTTTAGCAGGCTTCCTTATACTCTGAGCCACTACCTACCTGCCCTAGTCACCACAGGGACATGCACCAGAAACTAGGAATAATGCATATAACCCAGGGCCTAATAAACTTATTCAAGTTAGCCTTCCTTAAGCCTGCTTACCCTCCCTCTCCTGTTCCGTCTTCAGTTCTTGCTCACAGTTCTCCCCTCTGACTGCCTCCTGCCTGACCTTCATGCTTTCCACATGACTCGCCATGGCATTGTATGCTACCTTCTTCTGGGGTCTGTGAATAATACAAGCTATTTTTTCAATGACAGTCATCTCTGTTATATCTAAGTAATAATCATTTCCAAATAATAATGTTTTTTAATATTGTATTAAATCAAGTGTTTGATCTAACCTGCTTGTCCCCCGGAAGCAGATAGATCTCTAGAGACCTTTCTAATGCAAGCAATTTTTTTTATCTTATTACATTAAATTGAGAGCATTGTTGAGTCTTTAAAATAGATATGTCAGTAATAATAAGTCTTGATCTTCTGAAATTATCCAGTGTTAAATGCCAAGGATATTCTGAATCAGGAATTACGTAAAGAGAAATTCCACAGAAAGTCTTGTGTAAGAGTCATTGCTTAAATGGACGCAGGGGAAAATGTTGCTTCTATTTTAGAAAGTCTTTCATTTTGCTCCAGTATAACTGAAGAAAAAAATTTTCTAGTGTATATTTTTGGAGACTTCTATTAATTTTTCTGCTTTCCTTAGCTCTTTTCTGTTTGCTTTTTCATTCAGAATAGTAGAGAGTTTGCTCCTGATAGTGTGTGATTGCATAACTTTAGGGTGCCTGTTGGGAAGAATAAGGAAAATATTGGGATAAAATTATCCCTTTAAAAGACCCGTGAGAAATATCAAGGAGACTTCACCAACAAGATGGTGGAATGTGTAGGTTTTGATAAATCTCTCTCCTAAGTACAACCAGGAAGTACTGAGATTTCATCACAGAAAAATTCTTCAGTTCATCCAGCACAGGGAGATTGACCAACAGATATTTTGCCCTGAGGTGGTTTCATGTGTGGGTCAATAGGGCAAAGGGATTTGCAGCCAGGGCAGCACCATTCCAGTCTGCTGATAAGCTGGGCACCAGACACAGTGTTATTCAGGGATCACTTTGCAGAGAAGCGGGGAGAGCAGACTTACATGAACATAGGCACTGGGGTTGTTGGCTCAGTCATGGAGAATTTGGCTTCCAGTGGTATGGGTGAGAGAGTCCCTTCCCAAACAGCTAAAACAATCCTGAGGGAAAAGATGAAAAATGGTGCTATCATACTTCCTGACTTCAAACTGTATTATACAACAACAGTAATCAAAACAGTGTGGTATCTGAACAAAAACAGAAACTCAGAGCAATGGAATAGAATAGAAAACCCAGACAAAGCCACACAAATATAGTTCATCTTTGATAAAGGAGCCACAACCACACATTGGAAAAAGAAAGCCTCTACCAAATTGTGTTGGGAAACATTGGTAGCTACATGCAAAAAATAAAACTAGATCCATGTGTAACTCCACATGAAGTATAAAATAAAACAATAAATATGGCTTAGTATATGAAGAACTAGATTAATAGTGAGAATGTTACTAAATATTTACTGAACGAATGAATTAACCTCTAATGTAGTACAGTAATTCATTGTGCTATGTTAAAATATCAATTCATCCTTTTTTCCCTTTACTTTCTGTTTGAGAAGCAATTATTCTAAATCCTCTCCAAATACACTTCATAGAAATGTGACTTTTAAAATAAATCTGGAAATTACTTTTACTTACTATAAAAATTACAGAGAAGGATTATGTACAAGGCAAAATTATGCAAACATTTGTGTAAGAGAATAAACAAGGAAGTGCATTTCAGTTCAAATATTAATACTATGCTTCAAGTTGGATAAAAGGGCATCATAGCTGTTGATAAATCAAGAAAACAGTTTAGTCTTTTTTTTTCAGAAGGTTATCTGAATTTGTAATTATTGTTATTATGTTTTGTTCTGAAAATGCACCCATTCACAAAACCTTGGGGTAGTTGAAAAAAAAAGATGTATAATCTTCTGAAATAGGCCAGGATTCATGTTGAAGCACATTTGGCTGGACATTTAAGATCACAGTGAGAAAAAGGCTCACCTTTCTATACCCAATGTTGCCAAGTACAACCTTCCAAATTCATTCTAGAGAAAGAAAATATTTCTGACTCATTTTATTTGCCTTTGAGTCTTGCTTGAAATGTTTTTTCAAATGGAAAGAAGACTGGGGGGATTAGAGTAAAAGTCAACTATGAAATCTCTGGGCTATCATATGAAAAAGAAAAATATGAAAGAAAGCCAATATGAAAGAAAACTTAGTCAATATTCCAGTTGGAAGATGTAGGTAAGATATTGAAAAATAGTGGAGGGAAGTTCTCTTCAGAAAGATGACTTTTTGTGTTTGTTTGTTTTAAAGACATTTGAAAGATGGCAAATCTTCCCCCAGAACCATTTCTAAGTTTGGATAATGAGGCTTCTACACATAGCAAATACGTCAGTGGAAAGTTAACATTGCCCCCAAATTGCGAGCTCCAGATAACAAAGATCAAAATGTTCGTAGAAATTTTTGAGAGTTTGTAAGTCTGGTCTGTTTTTGTCTTGCTTTAAGGTCAACACAATCCTGAAAATCCTAAAGAGCCTCCCTCAAATACTACTTTCAGGTGAGTAGCTCTGTCTCTTACCATAAGAACCATGGTGATATAACCTGCAGGGCCAATAATTTAGGGGCATGAAAAACCAGGTAAAACAGAATAATAAGTATACTGGTTAGCCTAACTCTTTCATTTTGAAGATGAGTAAGCTGAGGTTCAACAACAGAAGTGCTCTGATGTAAACCCAGACCGTTGGGTTTCCTTTTTCCTTTTTGCAATGCAAGTGCCTGATCTAAACTTTGATTACTTAGGCCACTTCAAAGGTCAGTATCTCCAGTAAACACATTGTAAGTCACACAGCTAGATACATTCCTTTGGCGATTTTTTTCTTCTTTTCTTCCCTCACTTGAATTCCCACTCTTATATTTTAAATTCACCAATAAAAATGGAAACACGAGAAATCCTGATAAAAGTAGAACCCAGGACCCAGCACTGCCTTTACCTGTGATCCAAGTGTGCTGTCCCAGGAATCCCATATACCATCCAGGACACGGGAGTAATAAGTCTAGTTTCTTTCAAAGTTACCTGACAATTATGACTGAGGACATCTTTCAGTCCTAATAAGAACCCAAAGGAAAACCATGCCTAGTTTCTAATTCAGTAGGCCTGGGCAGAACAAAGTCTAACAGTTTCCCAGGTGACGCTATTGCTAGCGACATGATTCAGGGAAACAAAGACCCCCTGGGACACAGAATTACATGTGCTCCTCTTTGTCTTACCTGCTATCACATCTCTGAGAATGTCTTACCTGCTCTCACATCCCTTAGACCCTGACAAAGTAGGAAGCTCTAGCCAATGAGACAGGGAAGTGACAATGATGGGTCATTTTTTTCATAGGAATCTTGCCACATTTATTTCTCTCTTTAGCAATCATTTTAGACTTCTTTTTAGCCTCCTTTTTTAATTAATCCTCATACATGGATGGCCACAAAATACAGAGGCTTTCTCTTTCCTTCTTTGGCCCCTTTCTCACATCCTTGATATAGGAGACAATTATCTCTCCCAGAATTCTACAGCAACTTGCTATTTGGTCTTTCACACCACTAGCAGAGCAAGTTTCTTAAACCAGAAATCTGATCCTTTAACTGTTCAGTTCCTCCCAACTCCTAACCCTTTCCTCTCTGGTAACCACCATCCTATTGTCAGAATCTAAGGGTTTGTTTCTGTTTTCTTTTTTCATTTGTTTTGTTAAATTATATTTCATGTATGAATGAAATCACACGGTATTTTTTCTTTCTCTTCCTAGCTTATTTCAATGAGCATAATCCCCTCAGGGTTTTTTTGGGTTTTGGTGAGTTAGAAATGAAGTTTTATTGTAGGTGAAAGTACATACTTAAGAGTGAGTGTGAGCAGATACAGAGGGGAATCACCAATCCCTTCAATCGTTGCTCTTATTCAATCTTTTGGGTTTTTTTTTTTAAAGATTTATTTATTTATACAAGAACCAGGGTACAGGCCAGATACATGGGGGGGGGGAGTGTGAGAGGATTCACCAGAGCCAGAGCAGGGAACAGAACAGACTGACTGATGAAACACACTGCTGAGGGGAGCAGCGGGCGAGACAGGAGAGGTCTGTGGTGCCTTTCAATCTTTTATTTTTTTTATTTTTATACTCCCCATATAATTGCAACCCCTGATTTTGACCCCAATCCCTCCTTTCCCTGCCCCCCCAAAGTGTGTCTCTGGTTCATAGTTGTATGTTGATTTTTATTTTTTTCTTTCTTATAGTTATTCTTTTTCCTGGTCCCTTATTTAGGTTTTCTAGATTCCTGCTATGAGTGAGACCATCCAGTATTTTTCTTTTTCTTTCTGGCTTATTTCGCTGAGCATGATCCCTTCTAGCTCCATCCATGTTGCTGCAAATTGCATGTGTTTATCTTTTTTGAATGCTGAGTAATATTCCATGGTGTATATGTGCCACATCTTCTTGATCCAGTCATCTATTTTTGGGCATTTGGGTTATTTCCAAAGCTTAGCTATTGTAAATAGTGCTGCTATAAACATAGGGGTGCAGGTGCTCTTTGGAATTAATGTTTCTGTGTCCTTTGGGTAGATACCTAAGAGTAAAATTGCTGGAGCCATTCAATCTTTTGGAAGAGTTTATGAAAAATACTAGTTCAACATTGAAGTTTGGATAGAACTCATTAATGAAATGGTCTGGTTTTGGGCTTTTGTTTTTGGGCAACTTTTCGTTACGCTTTCAATTTCAGTTCTTGTAATTGGTCTCATATTTTCTATTTCTTCCTGTTATGCAGCAATGACTAGTTAATACATACTTTTCTCCCCTGTAATTTCACCACAATACCTCCCCCTAATAAAAGGGGTGTGAGAGGACAAGGACCAAAGACAGACTCTATAGATTGAGGGGAGCTGACTTGGGAGCAATCCCATCTTTTTTCACCCCTAGTCCTAGATAGGCAGAGGGACTTAAAGCAGTGCTATTCTGAAAAACCAGATAATGCATCCTGAAAGAGTGTAGCCTACCAGGGGGTAAAGAAGTATAGGACTGGACTAGAGGACATTCTTCTTCTTTTACTTCTTCCATCATTCTGCCATTTGGTGAAACTCCAGAAGGGAAACACCTTGTCAAATAAAGAGACTGGAGTTGGTCCTGTGTCACATGCTCTGGACAGCTAGGAGCAAGTAGCTATAATCCCTCTAATACTAAAGGTTTCCTCAATACCTAGTCGGTTTACCCTGGGCTAAACTCCATGGGCTGATAGACACAAAGGGAGCCACGATGTGCTCTGGTCTTCCCTTTAAAACCTTTAAAAACTGGTGGGCAAAACCAGTATTAATGTATAGGGAAAATTAAGTAATAACCCTGGGGTGTAAAAATGGGGCTAGATTTTTAAGACACCACACCCACAGTCATAGTTTAATTCTGCCACTAATTGTCTTAAGACTATAGTCACTCATGGCACCTCTTTGGGTTTTGATTTTCTTAACTGTAACATGAAGGATTTGAATATTATGTAGTTTCTAATTTCTTCAGAAGCATACTGCCCTTCTTACGTAAAATACAGGGAATAGATCAAGAGCTGAGCTGTTCCAGTTAAAACTCAGTGCCCAGCATAAAATTCATTGAAGGGGATAAGTCTTAAGGTGTCTTCTGGCTCAGATATCTTCTGATGAATCTGTAGCTATCCAGCAGAGTTTTGTGGAGATGTGGATTAGAAGGATGCATGCAAGTTTAAGCACCTTACCACTTTCATAAGGCCTAGATGTGTGTGGTAAGGCTGGTGGGGAGAGTAGTCCATACAAAATTGTGTGCCCTCTACTTCTTCAGGGCCTCAAGGTACACATCAAGAATAGACATATCAGTCTCACTTCTAGTCACATTTCCACTAGGCTCACTGCTGGTCATCAGAGCTTTCTCTGATGCTCCAAAGACTGTTCTAACTTGAGTACCAACTAGAAATACTAAGCCATGTAAGTTTTATTCTTATTGCATGAACTGTTTCAGAAGTCAATTAATTGCTTTGGAGGCACTGCATTTCAACTTCAGATGGCATTACATAGAAATTCCCAATGCCCCTGTATCCCTAGCCCCAATACTTGGTTTTATAATTTGTCTGTTCATATATTACATACACCCCACTCTCACCAACCTTCATAGTCAATATTATAAATATACCCTGTAGAAACAAACCTCTCTGAAGACCCTGTAGCTTGGGTCCTGCTTAATTCTTCCAAAAGAGCTTTTACATTTGTGTGTGTCTATAAATTGCCTCAGATATTGTCAGGTATTGTGTAAAGAAAGACTGATAAATGAAAGGTGTTCATTTTTTAATCTGGTACGTAACTGAATACCTACTTTATGTCTGGTAATAGTCCAGTGAATACAGCAGTGAATTAGATAGACATTGTTTCTGTCTTCCTGGATCTTACATTCTGTAGAGGAAAAGAAGAAATTAAAAATATTTGTATATAGGAGACATAAATAGCAAGAAATTTAGAGTAAAATAATATCATTGAAAGAAATAGGCAAGGAGATGGGATAAATGGGAATCAAATGGGGTGGGGGGAAATGCCTTTGAAAGGAGCATTCCAGAAAGACTTCTCTGAGGAGGCAACATTGAGCTGAAACCTGGAGTCTGAGAAGAAGCCAGTCAAGCCAAGATTCCAGGAAAATATTTCTAAGAAAGAGGTGACAGTAAAACCAAAGGCCCTGAGTCAGAAGAGGATTCAGCTATTTGAAGAATTAAAAATCAATCTGGCTGCAGTGTGGGGAATGTTGGGAGGGTGACAGGGCTTTCCAATGGGTCCTGATCTCTTTTGAATAACTTAGCTGGAGTGGAAGGTGTGGGTTGAACCCTGGCTCTGCCACTCGCTACTCATTACTAGTTTGTTAAGAGCATTTTCCAAAGCACATGAATTGGCTACAGTGACAATAACCTGACCCTGGACAGAGCAGGCTGTTTCTTCTGGCTTCTGTAATGATTAGAATGAATTGCTTCAGTGTCTTAGGTTGGGTCCCCTGGGAAACACTCAGGGATGCTGATTAATGCAGAAAGTTAATTGGGAGCACACTTGGGAATGACTCCTCCATACAGCAATTGCAATAAAAGCCACTGCTAATCTCATAAGGTGCTCTGAAGCTGGGAGTTATCTCAAATTCAGGTGCGGAGTTATCTCCAATTGAGGTACAGAGATCAGGTCTTTTACCTCCAAGTTAACCAGTTATCAGGTGTGGCTATCTCCAATGGAACTTTGGGTTATATTCCTTCAACTGAAGGCAAGATCCAGAGACAGCCTGGGGTGTGAGACATCAGCAAGCAACAAACCCAGCACCAGGGCATTAACTGTGTCTGTCGTGCAAGAGGTCTGGGTAGTACAGCACTGCATCACAGCAACCAGCCATCATTGCCACTCAGATATCACTGGGATTGCTCTGAATATACTGAGAGAATATTTTGATGTTCTCCAGGGCAATATCAGCCTCAATCAGATAAATTTATTTTTTTCTAAGATTGCTTAAAAGTGTCTTAAGGTCATTATTTTTAAGGTCCTTTATTAAGTAGATCTCTAGGCAAATACTTTCTGTGTAGGTGAAATGAACAAATTGAAAAATATGCATGTCCCTGGTCACTTAGGTGCTCCCCAGGATTCCTCACAACTGGCCATTGCCACTAGTCCCCTGTGTAGCTGGTTAGATTACAGATCAGGGACATTTGAAGTTCACAAAACCCAGTTCCTGACCATCAAGAGCAAATGACAGAAGCTCAAAGGGAGGACTTCAGATTCTTCTGTGGGTGGCAGTTCATGCTTCTGTAAGGTGGTTGTATGTCTTTGTGCAAATCTAACGTGTGCTGTCATTGGGCAGTGTGATCAAGTGTAGGACCAGCATGGGGTGGGGATAGAGGTTGGATGATGGGGTTTAGGATGCTACATTAGACACGGCAGTTCAGAATGACCTCTGGGGTAAGAAGATATTTGAGTTCTGAACGAAATACAGTGAGGGAGCGAATCAAGTAAATTTATAGAGGTAAAAATTCCAGAGAGAGGGAAAAAAGTACACAAACACGCTGAGGTTGTAGAATGTTCACATCACAGTAAAGAGGTCAATGAAGCTGGGGCAGAATGAGCAAAGGAAAAGACATCAGACAATGGGCAGGGGCTAGGTCGTGGGGGATCAAGAAAGGAGATCATGGGAGGGACTTGGGGTTATTACTATTTTTGTGTGTGAGAGAGTGAATGAGAAGTCATTAGTGACTTATGAGCAAAGGGTGCTGTGATTTGACATTATGTTTTAAGGGTGCAATTGAACAAACAGGATAGGTAGAACACAAGATGGAGACTGTTGTGGTAATTGGCAGTTAAGAATAAAGTGGCTTAGACCAGATTATCTGTGGAAGTGATGAGAAGTGATTGGATCCTGGGTAAATCTTGGAAGTAGGATTTATTGACAATTTGACTGTAGGTTTGTAAGAGAGACGAATCAAAGACGATTCCATTCAAAGTGCCTCTTCAGTGTCAAGTCACTCCCATGTCCCACTTTGTTGTAATTCCTTCCTCTTCTAGGAGCTCTCACATTTATATAAACAAGTATGGCTATGTGACCTCTCGCTCCAACCCCTCTCGCTCCTACTCATAATCCTCTTCTAAATCTTTAGTATTTAGAACTTATTATTAACAAAGACATTTGGTTATCTCTGACATACAATATTTTAAGACAATAACTTGGATAATAATAATTACACCAAAATATCAAATTAAGGTTTAGCATCACTTCAATATACAAGTAAACCTAGTTGGTTTTATGGGAAGAGAAAACAATCCTTGGACATATACCAGGGACTCTCTGGTATGTCTCAAGGCTAGTTCAAGGTCAAAAAGGCTAGTTTAGTTAGAATTTAATCTTTGGGAAGTGTTTCAAAATGTCAAAAGGTTTTAAAAAATATTTGGTCAATAGAATCATAGGTCACCATGAAGCAATATTAATTATCCATTTTTTTTTATTGCTAAAGGAAAAAAATTTAATGCACCACCCTTGTCTTATCCCACAGTCATGGGCAATGTGGAAATTTTATGCACTTAAGAATCAATGATGAGAGAAGTGCGATATTTTTCTGGCAGAGGCTATTCCACTTAGTTTATCCTTATGGCAATCTGATCAGTACTTATATTGCCATATTATAGAGGGGTGTTGAGGTCCCAAGGGCCTGGGCTGAGGACATGGTTGGTAAGAGCTGGGATAAGACCCAAATGTCTACCTCCACAGACCAGGCTCTTCTTCTACCCATGCTCTGGCAAAACAGATGGGTAGAAGGGTGTACATTTGATTTGTGGGTTATTAGGACACCAAGAATAGGTCTGCTCTCTAGCTGTGAGACATTCCTGTTAATTCTGAGCTGTAGTCTGACAAGGAAGTTCTCAGAATGCCACCTGGTAAGTACATTCGTTTCTAGTGTTCAAGAGAGTTTTAGAAATGACTATTACTTCAAATGACTATCACTTTGCTAAATTGTCTGCTTGGGTCTGGAGATTCCGTGTGGACTTTATGGGAACATACCAGTTCCTTGGAACAGTCTTGCAGTATATGGTGGTAAAGAAAAGTTAGAAATTGAAGTTGGGGTGTTTTTTCTCATAGTTAACTTGAAATTTGGTGTTTACCATTTTCTGACAATAACATGGGACCTACTCATATCTGTTTCACCACCTGTGATGTGATGGTACTGCATGAGGTCTATTCTGAATCTTTGTTCCTTACTTCAGTCAGGGAAAGAATGGACCATAAATGACCCTATCAGTTTAATAGACCATGTAACTTCTCTATCTAAAAGCGATATTTCTTTTGTTTCCCTAGAAAATCCTTCGTGTCATAGCTATTTTTCATATAATATTAAAGTTTACACACTAACTTATATTGGTAGTACATTTGCAGCTTGGAAAAAACACATCACAAATCTATATTAAATTTTTAGGTATTGAATAGATAATCTCTCATTTTAGTTAAAGGAACTTAAATTTATATATGCTACTGTTAAATTTTTAACCAACAGCCAACAGGACCAGTAGCTGAGCTTGATTACGGGCTACTAGCACTCAAATGAATTGATTTTAGTAGATAGCAATAAATTTAAAAGAATTTATAAATAGTAAAAACACATCAATTTATATTATTTGTTTCCATGGGAGATGTTTTTAAAAATTACATATACACATTTAATGATATTTGCTAATAAAGTAGAACATGGTCTAGATAAAGGGAATTACCATGTATTCAGTCATGCCATCTATCATGTATAATGTTATACATTAGTCATGTATAACAAGACTATTCAATGTGCTAGGCAACAGTAACTATGTTATATTAAATATTTGAATAATTTGGTCTAATGCTTTAAAAAGTCAACATGATCTGGCTACATTACTAGGTGAAGGGTCTGCAACAATTAAAATTTAAATTATATTTTGCTCATTTTTTTAATTAGTTTGCAATTCCAAGTATAGTTATAACTTGGTGGTAGGCACACTGACCTAAAGTTTAGAATATTCATCTTTTATTTAGTCAGTGAAGCCTATTGAGCAATTACAATGTAAAAATGCCTTGAGTGAATTAGATACAAAGGTAATTTTAATAAAATTATAAGCAGATACAATATAAGTAAAAAAATCCCATGGAATAACCTCTTTCAAACTTTTTATAAGCTCATTCAAAATTTTGGTGGAAAAGCAAATGGCCAATAATTCCCAGAATTATTTTGCAAAAAAAGAACAAAGTAATGAGCTTCCACTTATCAGATACCAAACTTTTAGCATAGACTGTGTATACTGATACAGGAATAAATAAATAGACCAATGAATCATGGCAGAAAGGCCAGAAATAGACATATGTGGAAATATATACAGCTGATCCTAAAAAAAATGTAGGGTTATAGGTGCTGACACTAGGAGTCAAAAATCCATGTATAACCTTGATATCCTGAAAAACTTAACTACAATCATCCCTTGATATAGCAGGGGATTGGTTTCAGGACACCCTCAGATAGAAAAATCCAATACTCATTTTCTTTATACCTAACCTTCTGTATTTGTGGGTTCCCACATTCATTTATTTAATCAACCGGCCAACCAATATTGGTTGAATCTATGGATGTGAAACCCTTAGATATGGAGAACCAACTGTATTTATTGAAAAAAAATCCATGTATAAGTGGACCCCCACTTTGAAGCTGTGTTGGTCAAAGGTCAACTGTAGATGTAAAAGCAAAGATAATATGTACATACTAATGAATGTGTTTCATTGGGTACTGAGAGAATCATAATTATACAATTAAGAATTCTCTATGGAGACTGGAGCGATTATTAGTTGCCATCCAAATTACTGTCCTAATATTCTCCCTTTCTCAGTACCACAGATAGATACAACTGTAAATAAATTGGGAAGTTCACAAAAAACAGAAATTGTATCTTAATTTTTCATATTTAAAATACCAGTAATCAAAAAAAATTAAACATAAAATAAAATGCCAGTAATCATATTCTTCAGAAAAATACTCAGAAGTGGGACAACTGGATCATATGGTATTTCTGTTCTCAATTTTTTAAAGAATTTTCATACTGTTTTCCATGGCTGCACCAATTTACATTCCTACCAACAGTGTACAATTTTCTCTCTTCTCCACATACTTGCCAACACTTCTTCCTTGTCTTTTGGTAATAGCCATTTTCACAGGTGTGAAGTGACATCTCATTATAATTTTGAATTGCATTTTCTCTAATAATAAGGTAATGAAAATCTTTTCATGTCTGTTGGCCATCTCAATGTCTTCTTTAGAGATGCTTCTATTTAGATCCTCTGCCCATTTTTTAATTGGTTTGTTTGTGTTTCTTATTCTTTATATATTTTGTGAATTAGTCCCTTGACAAGTACATGATTTACAAATATATTCTCACATTCACTAGGATACCTGTTCATTTAACAATAGCTTCTTTCACTGTGCAGAAGCATTTTAGTTTGATGTACTCCATTTGCATGTTTTTTATTTTGTTGTCCTTGCTATTGGATTAGAATTCCCAAAGGCTGCTGTAAAGGAATTTATACCCTATGCTTTCTACTATGTATTTTATGGTTTCTGTTCTTACATTTAAGAGTAACAAACAATGGATGATTTCGCGCGTATGTGGAATATAAAACACAAAGCAAAGGAACAGATAAGACCAAACCTTTGTAATATGGCTATAGAACTTTAGCTACTAGAAAAAGAAGGTATGGTGCTGGTGTCTTACTCATTTATATGCCAGGATATGAGAATTAGGAATAGGGTGAGGATGATTATGACACCCATTTCTCAAAATTAAAATCAGTTGAAATTCTAATTTGGTTTATTTTTGTGTAATAAAGTCCATACATCAAAATGACTGCCTTAAAAAAGCAACTGAACACCGCCATTTAGCCCCTCTATTTTCCTGCCCAGCTCCCACCATTTTGCTAACTTTTCTTTTGCCTGAATGGCTTTATTGCAAAGCAACTTCTGATAAATTGGGTTTCTGATTTTTGACTATCTTTTATTTCAGCATATGAATAAAAGCACACACATTTTCTTAATATTTATCCATGTATATTGCTCACATTGTAAATTTTGTTGATATTTTCATTTGAGTAAAAGAAACTATCCCTGCTTTTATTATAATGAAAGCTTAAGTGAGTTTCCTGGGGAAAAGATAGGAAAACATATTGTAGAGCTAAGAGAAAATGAATATGAGGTGCATCTATAATACTGTTCATTGATAGGTTTACAATCATGTGAAACATGCCAATGTAGTAAAATACACATTTTAAATTTTCTAATAATTCAAAACTAACATACAGAGTTTCAATATTTTTTTCCGGATCAATCAGTTTTATTGTGTAAATGTATCAAGCTTGCATGGTACTAGGCTATAAATATCAAACACACACATGCAAACACACACACACACACACACACAGAGGTACCTCATCACAAAGGAGATAATGAAAGCAAAGAATAATGTCTCTGTAATCTGGAACTTAAAATAGATGCTAGTGTAGAATATTGTTAGTTAGTTAAACTCAGAATATCTATTCAATCAAAACTGACTTTAAAAAATAAACAGATTTACCATAGCAAATCCAAATGTTGTCATTGTTGTTTGAATGAAGAAAAAGTAATAGATCTCATAGAAGAGAATTAGCATGTATTTTCAGAACCATTTCACATCTTCTCTTATAATGCCTACAAATGGAAATGAAATGTATGGTTCAAAAGAAATAAAACTAAGAATAAAATATTATCTAGACACAACCCATCTCCAAAGGCTTTATTCTTTGTCATTTTTATGAAAAGGATTACTATGTTCTGAATACCCATATCCAAAAATTTCCCCAAGAAAACACCCCAGGTTTTTAGAAGATAGTGGGGCAATAAGAATCCAAAAATAGGTAGGTAGAAGGCATTAAAGAGTAGAGAGACTACTCAGCATATGCCTTTGATGGAATGTGAAGTGTGATAATAGATTGTTTTTACTATTTTCTCTCATGATTTAGTTTTATAAATATGTAACAAAAGTGAAACTTTATGAGGAAATAATGCTGTGATATTAAGCATAGTTGTGAGAAGGACAATTTAACAGAATGAGTCAGCTTTTCTCCATTCATTCTCTTCAATCTCACCCTATAGTCCCATCTACACCAAAGTTTCTCAGTTTACAATGACTGAAACTCTTAACTTTATTTATTTAGAATAGACTTCTCTTTTGTTCTACAAACTCATTTGTCCATTTATCACTTTCTGTCTGACATTTCCTCCAGGCCATTCTAACTCCATCAAACAAATCTTGTTACATCTACTCTAAAAATATATCCATAATACTGCCAATTCTTTTTTTTTTTTTCACAATTCTGTATTGACATTTATTGATAATTAAATGCATGAAAAGTACTACAGTGCACTCTGAATACATAATTTAGAAATTGCGAAACACTCGCTGTCTGTCGCCCCCTCTCACTGGGTTTAAGCTTCTCTCCTTGGGTTTTTATTATTTGCCTTCATTCCTTGTCTTCACTAATATCTTTCCTCTTTCCTCTTTCCTCTTTCCTAAAGCCAGATTCTGTCTTCCAAATTCCATATTCCTTCTCTGGAAAATCTCATTCCCTCTTAAACATTCAACTGTCACATGATGGAGCCCCAAATGTTTACTACCCCCAGTTGCCCTGCAGCTTGTCACTACCCCTAATGTATTTTTTTTTTAACTTGATCTTTTTTTTTTTAAATAATAAATTTTATTGTTATATTCCCCATACAATTGCAAACCCCCCATTCTGACCCCAATCCCTCCCCTCCCGCCCCCACCCCCCTAAAAGTGTCTCTGGTTCATAGTTTTTTGTTGATTTTGATTTTCACTTTCTTAAAGTTATTCATTTTCCTGGTCCCTTATTTAAGTTTTCTAGATTCCTGTTATGAGTTAGACCATCCGGTATTTTCCTTTTTCTTTTTGGCTTATTTCGCTGAGCATGATCCCTTCCAGCGCCATCCATGTTGCTGCAAATTGCATGTGTTTATCTTTTTTGAATGCTGAGTAATATTCCATGGTATATATGTACCACATCTTCTTGATCCAGTCATCTATTTTTGGGCATTTGGGCTGTTTCCAAAACTTAGCTATTGTAAACAGTGCTGCTATAAACATAGGGGTGCAGGTGCTCTTTGGAATTGATGTTTCTGTGTCTTTTGGGTAAATACCTAGGAGTGGAATTGCTGGATCCTATGGAAGTTCTATGTTTAGTAGGTCCAGAAATCTCCACACAGCTTTCCATAGTGGTTGGACCAGTTTGCACTCCCACCAACAGTGCAGAAGAGTTCCTTTTTCTCCACACCCTCGCCAACATTTGTTGTTGCTAGTTTTTTTAATATGTGCCATTCTCACTGGTGTAAGATGGTATCTCATGGTAGTTTTGATTTGCATTTCCCTGATGACAAGTGATGTTGAACATTTTTTCATATGTCTGTTGGCCATTTGCATTTCCTCTTCAGAGAAGTTTCTTTTTAGCTCTTCTGCCCATTTTTTCACTGGATTATTTTCTTTGTTGTTGCTGAGTCTCGTCAGCTCTTTGCAGATTTTTGTGATCAGTCCTTTATCATTAGTGTTGGGTGCAAAAATGTTCTCCCAGTTGGTGGGGTTTCTCTTTGTTTTTGTTATTGTCTCTTTTGCTGTGCAGAAGCTCTTTAATTTGATGTAGTCCCAGCTGTTTATCTTTGCCTTCACTATCACTGCTTTGGGTGATGTGTCTGTAAAGATGTCTTTGATATGCAAATCACGTAGTGTTTCGCCTATATTTCCTTCTATATATTTTATGGTTTCAGGTCTTATGTCTAGTTCTTTAATCCATTTTGAGTTGATTTTTGTGTATAGCGTGAGGTAGTGGTCAAGCTTCATTCTTTTGCATGTAGCGACCCAGTTTTCCCAGCACCATTTATTGAACAAACTTTCTTTGCTCCATTGCATAGTCTTTGCTCCTTTGTCAAAGATTAGTTGACCATAAATCTGTGGGTTTATTTCTGGATTTTCTATTCGATTCCATTGGTCTGTATGTCTGTTCTTGTTCCAATACCATGCAGTTTTGATGATTATGGCTTTGTAGTATAGTTTGAAGTCTGGGAGTGTGATGCCTCCATTTCCTTCTTTTTTTTCAGTAGAGCTTTGGCTATTCGGGGTTTTTTGATTCCATATGAATTTCATCAATAATTGTTCTATTTCTTTGAAGAATGACATTGAAATTTTGATTGGAATAGCACTGAATCTGTATATTGCTTTTGGTAGGATGGCCATTTTAATAATGTTTATTCTTCCAATCCATGAGCAGGGGATGTCTTTCCATTTCTTTGAGTCTTCTTCTATTTCTTTTAACAGTGTTTTATAGTTTTCTTTGTATAGGTCCTTTACCTCTTTTGTTAGATTTATTCCCAAATATTTGATTTTTTTTGTTTCAATAACAAAAGGGATGGTTTTTTTGATTTCTTCTTCTTCAGATTTATTGTTTGTGTATAGGAAGGCTACTGACTTTTGCGTGTTGATTTTGTATCCTGCCACTTTACTGAACTGACTGATGAGTTGAATTAGTTTTTCTGTGGAGTTTTTGGGGTTCTCTATGTATAATATCATATCATCTGCAAATAGTGATAGTTTGACTTCTTCTTTTCCTATTTGGATTCCTTGGATGTCTTTCTCTTGTCTTATTGCCCTGGCTAGGACTTCCAGTATTATATTGAAAAGCAGTGGTGAGAGTGGGCATCCTTGTCTTGTTCCAGATCTTAATGGAATTGCTTTCAGCTTTTCACCATTGAGAATTATACTGGCTGTTGGCTTGTCATAGATGGCCTTTATGATGTTGAGGTATGTTCCTTGTATCCCAAGAATTTCAAGGGCTTTTATCATGAATGGGTGTTGCACTTTGTCGAAAGCTTTCTCAGCATCTATTGATATTATCATATGGTTTTTATATTTCTTTTTGTTGATGTGCTGGATAACGTTGATTGATTTTCGGATGTTAAACCATCCTTGTGTCCCTGGAATGAATCCTACTTGGTCGTGGTGAATTATCTTATGGATACATTGTTGGATTCTGATAGCTAAAATTTTATTGAGGATTTTTGCATTAGTGTTCATTAGGGAGATTGGCCTGTAGTTTTCCTTTTTTGTGTTGTCCTTGTTCGGTTTTGGTATTAGTGTAATGTTGGCTTCATAGAACGTGTTTGGTATTGTCCCTTCCTTCTCAATTTTTTGGAAGAGTTTGTGAAGGATAGGCACTAATTCGTCTCTGAATGTTTGGTAGAATTCATTTGTAAATCCATCAGGTCCTGGGCTTTTGTTTTGGGGAGGTTTTTGATTACCATTTCAATTTTGCTGCTTGTAATTGGTCTGTTTAGGTGTTCTATTTCTTCTTTATCTAGCTTTGGGTGATTGTAGAGTTGTGGGAATTTGTCCATCTCCTCTAGATTGTTAAACTTGTTTCCATATAACTGTTCATAGTAGTTACTGATTATTCTTTTGATTTCTGCTGTGTCCGTTGTGATTTCTCCTCTTTCATTGATGATCCTGTTTATTTGTGCTTTCTCCCTTTTTTCCTTTGTGAGCCTGGCTAGGGTTTGTCTATTTTATTTATTTTTTCAAAGAACCAGCTCTTGGTTTCATTGATCTTTTGGATTGTTTTTTTAGTTTCAATTTCATTTATTTCTGCTTTGGTTTTTATTATTTCTTTTCTTCTACTGGTTTTGGGGTTTTTTTGTTGTTCTTTTTCTAGATCTTTGAGCTTCGAGATTAGGTTGTTTCTTTGAGTTCTTTCTTGTTTCTTGATGTGAGCTTCTATTGCTATATATTTTCCTCTTATTACTGCTTTTGCTGCATCCCATACATTTAGGATATTGGTGTCCTCCTTGTCGTTCAATTCAAAAAATTTTTTAATTTCTTCTTTGATCTCCTCATTAGTCCAGTGGTCTTCCAGTAGTGTGGTTTTTAATCTCCATGAGGTAGGAAAGTTCCTTGCCTTCTTTTTATGGTTTATTTCTAGTTTGATGCCTTCATGGTCAGAAAAGATGGTTGATATGATTTCAATCTTGGTGTATCTGTTGATGTTTGTCTTGTGCCCCAGTATGTGATCGATCCTGGAGAATGATCCGTGTGCGCTTGAGAAAAATGTGTACTCCGTTTTTTGGGGGTTTAGTGTTCTATAGATGTCTGTTAAGCCCAATTGCTCTAGGTCCTTATTTAGAGCTTTGGTTTCTTTACTTATTTTTTGTCTTGTTGATCTATCCATTGTTGATAGTGGTGTGTTGAAGTCTTCCACTACATATGTGTTTTCTCTGATGTCTGTTTTCAGAGAGGACAACAGTTGTCTGATATATTTTGGTGCTCCTTCGTTTGGTGAGTATATGTTAATGAGTGTTATTCTTCTTGAAGTATTGTCCCCTTGATCATAATGTAGTGACCATTGGGGTCTCTTTTTATCTTTTTGAGTTTGAAATCTGTTTTATCTGATATAAGTATAGCTGTTCCTGCTTTCTTTTTTGGTCCATTTGCTTGTAGGATTGTTTTCCATCCTTTAACTTTGAACCTATTTTTATCTTTTGTAGCTAAATGTGTTTCCTGGAGACAGCAAAAGGTTGGATTTTGTTTCTTAATCCAGGCTGCAACTCTGTGTCTTTTTATTGAAGAGTTTAGTCCATTTACATTTAGAGTTAATATTGATATGTTAACATCTGTATTTGCCATTGTGTTTGTCTTTCCTTTGATTTTATTTATTTATTCTTTTAATAACCTTTTTTTTTTTTTGGCCTTTTATTGTTATTCATCCCTCTGAGGTTCTGGCTTTAGGACTCCTTGTAGTATTTTTTGGAGTGGGGGTTTCGTTGTAATGAAATTCCGGAGTTTCTGTTTGTCTGAGAAGGTCCATATTCTTTCTTCAAAGAGGAAGGAGAGCTTTGCGGGATAGAGTATTCTTGGTTGGCATCTGTTTTCTTGGAGTCTGTTGACTATGTCCCTCCACTCGCTCCTTGCCCGTAGTGTTTCTTTGGAGAAGTCTGATGTCAGCCTGATTGGCTTTCCTTTGAATGTTATCTGTTTCTTCCCTCTTGTCAGCTTCATTATTTTTTCCTTGTCCTGGATTCTTGGGAGCTTTACTATTATGTGTCTTGCTGTATTTTTCCTTTCATCGTGGAAGTTTGGTGTTCTTCTTGCTTCTTGTATATCAATTTTCAGCTCCTTCTTCACATTTGGGAAGTTCTCTTCAATTATCTCTTTGAAAATTTTCTCTGTTCCTACTTCTCTCTCCTCTCCTTCTGGTATTCCTATAACTCTTATATTTCCTTTCCTCATGGAGTCAGATAGTTCCGTAGTCTTTCTTCGTTCTTTTTCCTTCGTACTTCTCTTTCCTTTTCTGTTTTGGTTCTTTTTATTTCTGTGTCTTCAAGAGAACTTATTCGTTCTTCCATTTCATCTATTCTGCTTTCATTGCTTTCCCCAGAATTCTTTAGTTCTTCCATTAATTCTTTGATCTCCTGCATTTCTTTTACTTCCCTCTTTAGGGACTCAATTTCATTCTTCTGATCGTTGATTATTTTTCCCTTATCATTGTTTTCCTTTATGACTTCTGTCAGATTTTTAATCACGGCAATTTTAAATTCTCTTTCTGGAAGGCTCAGAAGTTTTTCCAAGTTACTGTCGTTGCCATCTGGGGGCTGGTTTTCTTTTTGTGGTGTGCTTTTTCCCTGGGGAGTAGCTAGGTTGCGTGTGGTTCTTCTCCTCCCTACTGTCTGTTTTCTAATTTGCCGTATGCGTTGGGACACTGTGTAGTTGGGACTGGCCGGCATCTTGGGTGAGCTTCTCTGCTCCCCTCTGGTTCCTCCAGGAGTCATCTGTCAGTTTCAAGCAGTTTTTACTGAAGAAAGGTCCCTGTTCTAGAATGCCGATGTGGGGACACACTCCCCTGTGCGCCTGGTCTGCCCCGGCGGTGGGTTCCTGCTCCCCCTCTGGGCTTGGACTGCAGGCCAGAGGGGGTCTGGTGTGGGCGAACTTCCCCCGCTCACCTCTGGCTCCTGAGGAAGCCTTCTGTAGGTAGTCTTTACTGAAGAAATGTCCCTGTTCTAAAATGGTGATGTGGGACACACTCCCTGCGCGTCCAGTCTCAGGCACACTCTTCTGTGCGCCTGGTCTGCCCCGGCTGTGGGTGCTCACTCCCCCTGTGGGCTCAGACTACTGGTCGGAAGGGTCCCGGCAGTGGGCTAACTCCCCAGCTGGCCACTAGCTCCTTCAGGAGCCTCTGCTGGTTTCAAGTCGCTAGGTGGTGCCAGAGATCTCTCCTAGAGCCCTTGGGGAGCTGATTATCCACCCTGTGGGACAGGGAACAGAGCGGGGATGGTAGGGTACACCTCAACGGCTTTGGGGTGCTGTGTCTGCCTTGTGCCCCACCGTCGTGGGGAACTCACGCCCCTAATTTCGTGCCCCGAGTCTCAGTTCCAAAGCCCTCAGTTCCAGGACGTGGGCTGTAGCCCAGTTCAGTGGCGCGGGAATGGCGCCTTTTGAATCCCACTCCCGTGCCTGGGCGCCTGGTTCCTGCTCACATGGTGAGGGCCTCCGCGCGTCTCCCCGCAAGCCTAGGTCGCAGGCGCGGGGACCTGGGCAGTTGCGATCCGATCCGGATCTGCGTTTGCTTTTCAACCGCACTGCTTTTTCAACCGCTCTGCTTTTCTGCGCGATCCCGTTTCCGCTCTGCGCTGCCTTTCCGCGCAATCCCGATCCCGATCCCGATCCGCGTCTTCTTTTCCAGCGCGCCGCTTTGCGCAAGCTTACCGGTGGCCCGGGGCTGTGTGCTGGTCCTGGCCTCCTCCCTGGGGGCGGGGTCTCTCTTCAATGGCACCTGGAGCTCACCTCCGTGGCAAATCCTGCAGAATTCTCCTCAGCTCCCGTTCACGGGGTGTGGTGGCTCCAATAGTTCCTTTCCACTCCCAGTCCCGCTTGCTGCGTCGTTTGTTCTTGTGGGTCGTTTCGGTTTGTTGTTTTCCTCCTCTCTGCCGGTCGGAAAGTGCCGCCTCTGTGGGCGGGGGAGGGGAGCGGGGTTCTGCGCTTCCCTCCCTTCTGGTCCTCTTTTATGGCCACTTTCTTCTTCGGGCAGTTTGCTGGAGTCACCCGTTTATCTTCCGTGTCCCAGTTCTCACTGGGACCTGCCGCTTTTCCTCCCTATTAACTTTTTTTAATGGGAGATCTTACTCGCAGCGTCTCCTCGCCGCCATGTTGCTCCGCCCCTCTCCCAGTACCGCCAATTCTTAAGAGCTTGTTCTGTTCCAATATTCTCACCCACATTCTCTGCCATGACTTTGGTTACATTATCATCAATTCTCAATTATTGCAATAATTTCCTAACTGGTTTTCTTTCTTTCCTGTTTCCCTAGAGTATAGACTCAACCCGAAAGCCTTGATTCTTTTTTTTTTTTTTTTTAAAGATTTATTTACTTATACAAGCACTGAGGTACAGGCCAGAGGCTCGGGAGGGTAAGAGAATTCACAAGAGACAGAGCAGGGAGCAGAACAGGCAGAAGGACTGAAAGCACTGCTCAGGGGAGCAGCGGGCGAGACAGGAGAGGTCTTCCACACCATGTGGGAATCTCCCTGGCTGGCCAGGAATTGAACCTGCACTGCAGAGCCTGCAGACAGCTTCACAGTGCTGTGTTCAACCCACTGCGCCACCGGGGAGGCCTGCCATTGATTCTTTTAAAAGTTAAGTCAGATCATGTCCTCCTTCTGCTCAAAATTCTCCAATGAGAAATATAAGTAAGGTTGTTCTCAATAGCTTGTATCCTCTTTTCAGCCACTCTTAATCTATTGTGCTCCAGTCATACTACTGTCTTGGAATTCCTTGAATAAATGCCTAGAACTCTGCTCTTCCAGGGCCTTCTTGTTCCCTCAGTGTAGACTAATCCTTTTCCAGTAATTCCAAGTACTCCCCCTTATTTTATTTAATATCTGCCTAATTTTCACCTTATTAAAGAAACTATCTCTGACCACACTAAATAAAAGAACAACACCTCATATTCTCTAGCTAATCATGGCTAATTTTTTTCCAAGTTGCTTTAAAACTATCTGTTGTACTATATTTTGTGTTAGAAGGGAATTCCTGTATTGTGTTACTTAGCATAGAAAAAATTTCCTGGAATATAATAATAAGGAGGCAGGATACTGGTAGGAATAAAAAGGACTGGGCAGAAGAGCTGGGGAAGATCCTGCTTTGTGGAAAAGAGCTTTCTGTGGGCAGAACCTGGTGCTTCTGGAAACCTACTCTCATGGCCTCAAAAGTGCCTTAAGGATCCTCAAAGGGGTACCTGAGAAGGTGGGGAGAAATTTGCAGGCTTAAATTATTTGCATGTGAGATGCCTAAGGAGGAAACTTCTAGCATCAATCCTTAGCTCTAGCTTCCTCTGGTCTTTGTCACTTTAATTATACTAAAGTTCCAACCACAGGGTTCCCCACAACATAGCAGGTATCTCAATGGCCCATAGCAATTCCCTTTTTGGGGTGGCTATTCTCAAGGCCACACTCTTTTCTTATCTTCTTTTTCTTCTAAGACAATCGTTTTGATGGAGAGTGGTGAGTTGTAAATGCCCTAAGACATCCCAAGACTAGGAGCTGGCGCTGGGCCCACCATGGCTTACCTCCAAATCCCTAGCTTTCCTAAAGTTGCATGCTTGATTATAGGCTTAAAAAAGCAACACTCTGGCAAAAACCACTTTGAAAATTTGCACCCAGACTACAATTTCAGGGATTTGAGAAACCACAGAAATAGATTTTTCTTTCCATTTCCAAAAGTAAAAAAAAATGGAAGGTAGTTTTAAGGGTAAAGAGGTTTCCTGATTGACTCCTTGACTGATCCCTACTGTGACCAGAGGCAGTATTAACTGTCACTATCCCCAGACAGGATCCTAAAGTAGGTGAAGTGAAGTGTGTTCTGTGTATCCTCCCCAATGGGAACACTCGCTCCCATCCCCAATCAAGAGGCAGAGAATTTTTCCTTAAATATTTTCACTTGTCATTCCCTCCCCACATCAAAAACTACTTTCAGATAGTGATCCAATATCAGCTACATATTCCTCAAATGTAAGGCTACTTACTTTCTTTTCAGTGAAATGTGTTTTAGCTCTGCAGCAGTGTGAAGGTCACCTTGCGATGTCAGGTTGGAAGTAGAAAGTGGGGGCAAACTCAGGTCAGATACCAAGGAGAGCAAGACCCACATTCCAAAACCTTGCCGGTGAAGTAAAACCAGGATACAGGCTGTGCTGGAATCAGAGCAAATAGCATTCATCTGGAGAAGGGGCATATACAGAAATGATTCATAGGCAAATCCAAGATCAAGGTGGGTAGAGGGTTAAATGGATTCCATTTGTGAATAGGTCATACATGTAGATGGTTTGGATGAACTCCCAGCTTCAGTTGGAGGGGGGCAGAATCCTTTTTGGAAAACTAAAGACTCCTGAGACATAGGCACACTTCTGTTCTTATAGAAAGAGCTAACATTTATAAAGCATTTTCTCTGTAATGGGTATTGTGCTAAGGACTTTACTTGTATTATATTTTCAAATTCTTAGAACAATCTTATGGTGTCAGCACCATGTTTATCGCCATCACTTGTTTAAGCTTAAGCAGCATATGCCCTCTTTTGAGTCTTTCAGTGATCCTTATGTTCTTTGGGTTCCGAAATAATTTATCTGTTTGAAACCTTGGAATTTAATGAACTAGTGTTGGCCAGGAGAATCATCTCTCTGGAATATTAGCTCTGAGTTGAATCTAATATATTTTGTAATCCAATCCAGATGCACCTAATGGAGTCAGTCTTAAATGGGTATCACCAGAAAAGAAAATTATTCAAAAGCATGGGTGGTAACAATTATATTATAAATTTTATCATCTTCTCATAATATGCCAGACTGACCAGATTCTTCACTATATTCCTGAATCTACAATAACTATGGCTCAGAGGTCGTGTTGCCCAGTCTGTGAAGATGATTTTCTCTTAATAATTGTAAAAGAGTACATCGACTAATTGCATTGCTAGTTCCCTAAACTCAATGCTGTAAAACATCAATATTTATCAAAGTTTGTCCTGAGGTTTTCTAAGTCCAGGGACTCATGAAATATCCTACCACTTATCAGTGTTCATTCATTCAACACAGAATCAATGAGTATCTACTCTGGGCCATGCCTTAGGACCAAACAGTTAACAGGACAAGCATTGTCCCTTGGGAAGCTTATGTTCCAAAGTGGGTGCTGAGTCACACTGTAGTGTAATTAGAGTTTTAACTATATAATAAGTTCCATTCCACCTCCAAAGCTGCACTTTCTAGCCACATTTTAATCATAATAAAAAATGCTATACACCCTGGGCTTTGGTTAAAACAGCTTCGGGGGTTTTACATAGATCAAGATTGCTCTTGAAAGATTTTAGCTTCCTGACCATAATATACTCCTTTGATATGCAGTAATATTATGCCTGTTTCTGTGTATTTCTACTACTGCGTATTCCTGCTATTTATACAATTTTCCCTTCTTGGAAAACTGTTTTTTCCCATCCACTTTATCTACTTCTTGCCTTCCTAGGAAGTTCAATTCAGGTTCTCTTCTTTTTAGAAATGCCTCCTGACACGAGGGAGTTCTTTAGCTAAACTCACCTAAACTTCATTATTTGTGCTACTTGTCATGATTCCTTGTATTATTTTTTCTTTTATCTAGCCCTCTTTTATCTAGCCCTTTGTTTTTCATCTTTGTATTTTGAAAAGTAACCTAACACTTCAAAATTACCCAGGAAATGTTTATTAATAATAAAAACACATTTCTCTATCAACTGGATGATTATCAGGGATGAGAGTAAACCTTTCCAAGGTAAACACTTTGTAACAATTAGCTTTCTACCAGGGAAATTCACCCTTATATTTAGAATCTGCAGATTTCCCTTTAGGTATCTTCCTATGTAATAGGTTTCACGGTCAGTTTTTTTCTAAGATCTATTCCTAGATTTAGTGGCATATTACAGAGAAAAAGCAGGGTGCAAGAAAGGAAGAAGGTGACTTATGGTTTGCATAACTTGCTGTAATAACTGATACTCTTGGGGAAGTAGTTGGTTGTTTAACATCAAGAATTGCATAGACACTAAAAATTACATTGAATGAGGAAATGAATAAAAGTCTCAGGTTACTAGGAATAAAGAGAACAAAATAAAATAATGATTTCAAATATTGAGAAATGTCAAGAAGATAACATAATTCATTTGATCAAAGATCAGAGAGTTTATTAGTATTCAGATCAGTCTAAACAGTGAGGGGATCTGGAATCAAATCAAGCAAAACCTCTAAATGGCAAGTGTCAGGAACTTTACATGGCTTCTGCATTAGATGACATCCAATGAATATTTGCTGAAGGAATAAATGAACAAAAAGGCACCTGATTGTAACCTCAATGAATCAGTTTTCTCTCAGATGCATTCTTTGCCTTTCCTCTATTCAGCACTCTGACCTCCTGCTGGGTATTGCATCAACTAGGAAATTGGGGTGTCAAGATAAAGCAGAGTCCTTTCCTCCTTCTATCTGATTCCAGGTAGCATTTTAGCAACAGCAGTCTTTCCTTCCTGCCTCTACTTCTTTTTTTTTTTTTTTAAAGATTTATTTTTATTTTATTTATACAAGCACTGGGTACAGTCAGAAGCACGGGAGGGCGAGAGAATTCACCAGAGCCAGAGCGGGGAGCAGAGCAGGAAGAAGGACCGAAGTGCACTGCTGAGGGGAGCAGCGGGCTGCAGGAGAGGTCTGCGCGCCATGCGGGACCCTCCTCCGGTGGCCGGGGAGCAGCCGGGGATCGAACCGGCGCTGCAGAGGCTGCGGGCAGCTTCGCAACCCAGCGCTTAACCGCTGCGCCACTGGGGAGGCCCCCTGCCTCTACTTCTTGATGGACCATCCCACTAAGGCTGAAGTTTAGTAACATTGCTTCCTACGCTTGTGTCTCTAGCCAGCATTGCTAAACAGAAATATAATGTGAACATATATGTACATTTTAATTTTCTAGTAGCCACATTAAAAAAGTTAAAATTAAAAGGTAAGATGAATTTAAATATTTTATTTAACCTAGTATATCCAACATATGAAGTCTCTGTGTATTCAGTATAAAACCATTAATGAACTGTTTCCTTTTTCCTATTAAGTGTTCAGACTAGTCACATTTCAAGTGCTCATCTACCATATATGCTGGATGCCATATTGGAAAGCACAACTCTAGTATCATTTAGGATGGATTCCTACCTCTGATAATTTTTGATTTGTTTCACCACCGTGCCTTATTTTGCTTTTAGTCAATATAATACTTGTGTAATAATTCCTTGATTACACTCTATTGAAAATAAATAAATGAAACCACTCCATTGGAAATACTTGAAGCGTTTGGGTTTTGTTTTGGTTTGTTTTGTAGAGCATGACCAAAACAAATTTATTAGCAATACTAAAGAGGAAATATCAGGGCATCAGCATGGAGAAGAGAAAAAGGTTTTTTAAAAAAAAACTAATACTAAAATTTTTAACTTTGAAAGATCCCAAATAACTAAAGAAATTTTGAGCAAGAAGGACAAAGATTCATATTACAAAGCTGTAGTAATCAAAACAGTATGACACTGCCCTAAAAACAGACAAAAACCAATGGAACAGAAGCAAAGCCAAGTAATAAACCCACACATATGACCAACTAATATTTAACTAGGGAGTCAAGAAGACTTTGTGGATATAGTCTTTACCCACATGCTAAGAAAACTGTATATTCATATGAAAATAGAGAGAGAGAGAGAACACTGAACCACACACAAAAATTAACATGGACAATTCCACTCCTAGGTATTTACCCAAATGACACAGAAACATTAATTCCAAAGGACACCTGCATCCCTATGTTTATAGCACCACTATTTACAATAGCTAAGCTATGGAAACAAACCAAATGCCCAAAAATAGATGACTGGATCAAGAAGATGTGGTACATATACACAATGGAATATTACTCAGCAATCAAAAAAGATGAACACATGGCAGTTTGCAGCAACATGGATGGAGCTAGAAGGGATCGTGCTCAGTGAAATAAGTCAGAAAGAAAAAGGAAAATACTGGATGGTCTCACTCATAGCAGGAATTTAAAAAACCTAAATAAGGGACCAGGAAAAAGACTAATTAATACAAAGTAAAAATCAAAATCAACAAGCAACTATAAACCAGAGACACACTGCGGTGGGGGAGGAGGGTGGAGAGGAAGAATTAGGGTCAAAATAAGGGGGGTGCAATTGTATGGGGAATATAACCAAAATGAAAATGCATACATTGTATAAAAATGAAAAATGATATAAGAATTATATAAAATAAAATATTTAAAAAATTAACATGGACAAAAAGCTTAAAATTAAGACTTGAAACTATAAAAATGGAGAAAAACATAGGTGAAAAGCTCCTTGACATTGGTCTTGGTAATGATATTTTGAGTTAACACCAAAGCACCAGCAACAATAACAAAAATAAACAAGTGGTAATACAGCAAACTAAAGTCTTTCTGTACAGCACAGGAAACCACCAACAGAGTAAAAAAACAATGCACAGTTATACAACATATACTGATATGGGGTTAATATCCAAATTATACAACTCAACAGCAAACAATATAATTGAAGTGTGGATAAAGGATATTTTTCCAAAGAAGACAAAAATGGTATTTGGAAAGATGTTCAACATCACTAATCATCAGGAAAATGTAAATCAAAACCACGAGTTATCACCTCATCCCTCTTAGAATGGCTATTACCAAAAGACAAGAGATAACAAATGTTGGCAACGATATGGAGAAAAAGGAATATTTGTACACTGTTGGTGGGAATGTTAATTATGGAGTCTATGAAAAATAGTATGGAATTTCCTAAAAAAATTTAAAACAGAACTATCATATGATCTAGCAATTCCACTTGAGTATATATCTGAAGAAAATGAAATCAATATCTCAAAGATATGTGTATCCCAATGTTCATTGCAGTTTTATCAGGAATAAATAGCCAAAACATTAAAACAACCCTCCTCTGGCTTACTGATAAAGAATGGGGGTGAAGTCTTGTTTGTTTTGTTTTTGACAATTATTTTAAACCTTTTTAACAGGTGCTTTTGGTTTATTGACTTTTTGAAAAAAAAGCAAACTATAAACTTTTATTACAGATTAAGAGATTCCTAAAACATGTCATCTACACTAGATTAAAAAAAATTAAAAACCT